CGGCAGCAGCGCAGTTGGACCGCAGGCTCGGGCGCTGGCAAGTCATGTAGCAAAAGCAGCAACCACCCCTCAGGAATTAGAAAAAAAAAAAGGGGGGGGAGAAAAAGAAAGAAAGAGAAAAAAGAAACAACCACCGCCCCGGGGGTGAAGCTCCCTCGTTCCCAACTCTACTTCATGGTCTCCCCCCCACCCCCCGCTCCCCCCCCCTGCTGCTTCCTCCTCCTCCTCCTCTCGCAGCAGCAGTCACAGCAGCAGCAGCAGCAGCCCAAAGGGGGGGAGAGCCGGGCGGGCGGGCGCGTCCCGGAGCGGCCGCGGCGAGGCTGGGGAGACAGCGATCGAGGCGGCTATAGCCACAATTAATTTTCCAATTTGTAGTGAGCTACAGGCGCACACTAGGGCTGTAAAAAAATTTTTGGTTTAACCTTTCCTACCGCTGGGCCAATCAGAACCGGCGGCGTGCAGAAGCGTCTCTCCAGCCGTCGGCCAATCGGCGGGCCCGCGCCCCCCCCCCCCCCCCCCCGCCGCTCCCGCCCCCTCGCGCGCTCGCCTCCCCCTCTCCGCGGGCCTCGGACCTCGCGGCCGCGCAGGGATACGCCGGCGGGGTACGCAGCGCCGCGGCCTGCCCAAGCCCCCCGCAGCCCCGGCACCGGGTGGCTCTGCTCTACCCAGATCCCCCTCTTTGCACAAATAGCTCACATTCTGGGCCTCCTCACTGTTATTGGGCCATTTTCGTTGGAGCGTCAATATTTGTCCTTATTGATTAAAGTTTGTATCCGATTTTGTTTTTAAAAGCCGGGAGTGTGGGCGGGGAGGAGTTGGGTGTCAAAGCGCCAGAAGAAGAGAAAGCAAAGAGAGGGCAGGAAATGCAGGAGGAGGCGGCGAAGCACTACTTTCCCGAGTGGGCCTAGCTGGCCTGGGGCTGGCATTTCTGAGCCTGTAAGACCATTGTGCCCCGTGTAGGTAACACTGAAAGGAGGCTTGGATGGTTGGAGAGGGAAGGCCCACCCCCGCCGTGGGGGCGGAGGTTCTAGACCTTGCAGAGGAGGGTCGGAGAGGTTTGGGATGGTGGGATGAGGAGGGAGTGGGCCGGGGAGCACGGGGCCAGGCAGGGGTTACTTACTCGGTTCCAGCGGCCTGGGCGGCGGCGAGCTCAGGCGCCCGCTGGACGCACGGCCTGGGGCTCCGGGCGCGGCTGCGGCGGGCGGGGGCGGCTCAGTGATGGGCGCCTCTGATGGCCTTCCCAAATGAGGGGTGCCCAGAAAGAACACAAAACCAAACAATCTCGAAATAAATCAGGTAACACATGCTCTGTCTCTGTGTGTATTTCCTCCTTCCCTGTCTCTCCTGCTCCAGACCGTCGTTCACGCGCTGGGTGACTCGGTGTCGTTTTCTCCTCGCTGCTGCAGCTTCTCCTCAGCTTCTAATCCGCATTGGAAGCGAGTAGACACGAGTGATTCCCTTGGAATGGTTTCTTTTTTATTGTTAACATAGGAGGGAATTTAAGGGTGGGCGTCTATTTCTCCTTTTTGTTTTGTTTGGTTTTAAAGCCTTCCTATTTTCAGCTCCCTCTTTGCCTTTTTTTTTTTTTTTTTCTTTCCGTTTCTTAAATGCTTTTATTTTGCGCGGCCTCAACGCTCCAGAAATAACTGCATCCTTGAAGCCAGCCTCTTCCTACCCCTGGTGCTGCTCGAAGGCTCTTAGGAGCCATGGGAGCCTGGCTTCCTCAATTCCTGCTTCTTGGGCTTTGGGGATGGGAAGCTTTGGTTGAAGGGTGAAGTGACTGGAGGGATTGCCATTGGGGGGCTTTAAAAGGATCCCGTGGCCAGGGGCAGGGCTAAGGCCCAGCATTTCCCAGGGATTGGAATCTGGTGCGGAGCACACTGATCAAAGGCTGTTTCATCCCACATGAACACGAAACACACATTTTACGGAGGATGTAGCCTGAGAGAAGAGGGAGGTGGAAGAGAAGCATAAATGAACACCTTTCCCCCTACTCTATAAGGTAAATAACCATAAAATGTAAGCGTTTCTTCACTTTTGAGGATAAGCCCACAGTTAACTTACCTGGCATGACACGGTCTTTAAGAAAACGGAAGGGGGAAAGAGTGTAATGCCTTTGCTGATGTTTAAAATTAAAGTTCAATTCTAATTCAACTAGGAGTGCTGTTGAATACTCAGAATAATAGGACTTTATGCCACTCTCCCCTACCCCCATCATGAACTGAGAGACACGCACAGAATGCTAATCCTAGAAGGAATAATAATAAACAATTACAAAAGGCTAGTGATTTTTAAACCTGTACCTGTTCAAGAATGCCATAAAGGGCCCTTTTAATATTGGACTACAAATAACCTGCCACTCTGTGTGCTCTGTGTGTGTGTTTTAAATGCCTATATATTTCTCTATTGTAAAACAAACTATATTTACATATGTAAAAATCCAAGTGTTCTGTTAACAAACGTTTATGGTGACACAGCCCCAAATATTGATCCCCAAGTTCAGGATTTGTCACAGAGCAGAGTGAGCTAAAGGGCTGGGAAGATGTATGGGCCTTCCTCTTCCTGCTCAGCTCTCCTCCCACTCTTCTCCCCTCCTTTGGCCTGTTCTTCCTACTTTTCCTCAACTCTCTTTTCACCCTCCTCCCTCTTCCCCTCTTCCTCCCTCCTTACTCTTTCTCCCCCACCCCTCCTTCCCTCCCTGCCTCCCTCCATTCCTCTCCCTCTCCCTCTCTTCCTCCACCTACTCCTCCCAATTTCTCCCCCTAGAGCCCCCCTTCTCACCATCACTTATAATGGCACACAGGGCTCCCTCTGAGGTGGACGGCCCGGTACGTTTTCGTAGTCGGTCTAGCGTGAAATGATTCGGTGTAACCGGATTCTTGGGAAAGGACAGGTTACGTAAACATTTACTGATGTGGAGTAACTATACTATTTGTACTCTGATATGCAGGAAGGAAAGTGTTGATTAACACAGAAGAAAAAAAAGCGAAATTAGCTGATTGCATGCTCATAAGTGCAAGCTGTCATTGAACTGCTTTTAAAATAGACACAGCTGGGTGTTTGTGTTGAAAAATTTCTTGTGTTTTTGCTAATACTGAAATAAGCATGATTTTGTATACCAAACATTTTCAGATCATTAAAATTTGTAATCTGTGCTGGTTTTAAACACAAAGAAAAGAAACAGAATCATTTCGATGTAAAATTTGCTGATATTATATTAACTCAATCAGGTCTGTACAAATTGTGCATTGTGCCTCCTAAAATCTGTTTGATCAATTTAATACACAAAGTGCCAAACGTGGGTATTGTTTGTTAACATTGGGCATTTTATTCAAATCTCAGCTCAGCAGCAAACTAGAAGATCATTCCTTGAATACAACACCAGTTCTGGCTGTTGAATTTTTAATGTTTTAAGGTGTTTCTTAGGTCAAAGCTGAATGTGCATTGTTTATAACCCTGCATAAGATTTTAGCAGGTAAAAATAAGATTATTTTCTTTTGTTTACTTTGAGATAGCAAAAACTGGAGGCTGCTAATGAGATCTTTAATAGTCTGAATTTTGGGGGGCTAGGAGCTTATATTGACTGGGAAGACGTTTTGTGTGCAAATTAAGAATGCAGTATATTCTAGGAATTACATGGATAGAAGTCTTTCAAATAAGGTATTTAGGAAGGAATAAGCAGTATATAGTTTAGTATAATAATTAAAAACTATTCTCCCTAATGAAAAATGCTCACTTGCAACTTTTGGAAATGAGTTTGAATTCCTCAAATTTAATTGCATTTTATATGGAGATAGGGTGCCACATATATATAGGTGTGGGGGTAGTCCTTGCTCAACAAAAGATGCCCTGTTTACTCAGCGGCCCACGTTTGTATCAGCAATGGCTTCTTTTTAGATCTGCTACTAGTTGAAATGGGGGTTGGGGTTGGAGAAGGAGATCTTGGATGGAGTATTGTGCAAGTTGAAAGTCCCTGGATAGGGCTTTGTACATACTACCAGCCAATTTGGGTACAAATTGGATTTGAAGGCCTGCCCTTGTCCACCTTGGGCCTCTTTCCTAAGCACAAAAATTCCTAACTCCAGTGGAGCTTAGCTCAATCTCTGTGATTACCTTCAGAGGATGGGGGTATCCAGTTTTTTCAAACCTCAAACAAATTCCACATCACTATTTTCCCTTTTGACCAATCTTCATCTCTCACATTCATCTACAGATGTGCACCTTTCACACCAGGGAAGTGTTACCAATAAGAGCACAAGTCAGGAACTGTTCTTTTATGATAACAGAAGTAAACTTCTCTTAGATCCACCTCGCCCCTCCCCCAAAGAAGACAAGACTGCAAAAATGAGCAGTCCCAATGGAAAATTGATTGGGAAATGAATGAGATTATTATTCTGTTACCAGCATGAATTGATAACCTAGGCTCCACAATGTTTTGCACCCGAAACAGAAGTAGTACATTCCATTCGTTTCAGTTGGCAGTGCTACATTAGGTCTTCCTTAGAATCTAGTTCTTGCTTCTGGTCTGTGCTTCGCTCTCCTCGGTGCTTGGGGGCTAAGGAAGGGTAGGCCATATTCACCTAAAATTCACCCTGTTGTCAGTTTTCTGGACAGGATGCTCTTGTCAATGCCACGCTCGCTCGGGCTAAAGCTCTCTTCCTGCAGATACACTGGAAGTCCCTGGCTCCATGTTGGTCGACAGCGAGAGGCGTCCTTGCAGAAGCATCCAGGTATTTTTCAGGGAGATCCCTTGATGAGCAAGGTCGGCCCTCTCTCTAGCCAACTCGACTGTAATCCTTTCCTAACAGCGGGTAATGGTGCTAACATTTAGTGATTAGAAGTTAGTCTTTAGCGTGTTGTATTCTTGTTCTGTGGGTTTTGGTTACAGGTTATACGATTAGGTTTGCGAGAACAGTAGTGAACTAAACTTCCCAGTAAGAGGTCTTCACACCAGGGAAGTGTTACTTTTCTACAGCAGCCCTGCCTCGTCACTCATTAGGGAGCTGCAGGTTGTCAGCGGCTGTTCTCAGCATGCGCGTGTACGCGCGCATTCGCATCCCTGGGGGCGCGCACAACCACGCGCGCGCGCGCGCACACACACACACACACATACACATATACACACACTCACCCCTAAACGCACTAAAACTAAATTAAGAAGCCGATGATTAAGACAAGCGTCTACTAGGCCTGTCATTTCAGCATCCTTCCATCATAACATTGTGGCACCGGCAATTTTGCTTGAGAACCTCAGGAAAGGGGGAAAAAAACCTGTGGAAGAGCCTCATATTTGAGAACTGAAATGTTTAACTTGTGTAAGCTAGGGAACCACTTCAAAAGATGAAAAAGTCGAAGTTGAGAAAAATGAAGCTACAAGAGCTTCCATGCTCTACCATGGCAGGTACACTGTTCCTCCCCGCGCCCCTCCAAAAGAACCTTCCTGAGAACTCTTTTAGAGAGACTTTTCCCCAGCACTAAGTGGAAAGCCAAGCCTTGGAGTTTAGAACTAAGTATTACCGCCTGAGGGCCAAAGGTACTTTAAATCCCTCAGAGCAAATTCTCAATTGCATCAGCTGCACATCTCTTGTTAATACAATAAATGCTTACCACCCTTTCACTTGTTCCCATTTTTTACTAACATCATCATGAACTTCAAGGGTGGAAGATTTGTAGAATTAGTAGATTGTGTGTGTGTGTGTGTGTGTGTGTGTGTGTGTGTGTGTGTGTAGGTGTGTCGCAGTTCTTGACGAAATCTCATGTAGGCAAACTCATCACAGTCTATTGGAGCAAGTGTTAACCAACGGACCAGTATCAGTATTTCCTCTAGTTAAACAAGGAAATGGCTATACTCATTCTTCAAGGATATCAGTCAGGAAAAGTCTAAGAAATAGAGTTGGAGGGTAGGAATGAAGGTCAATGACAGAGGGTAGATCTCAATCTCTGGTCCCTTGCTTTAGCTTCCCAGGGATGGGCTATCCAAAAAGCAAGACAAAGAGGGACTTAACTTATGCTTGTTTACTAATCTATAGCAAACACTTTCATGTTTCTACCACATCAAAGATTCTGCTTCTAGGTAAGGCTAGTGTCTGTCCCAACCCCACTGCACTCTACTACAGAGAGCCTCTGTTCAAATTTGCAATCCCTGACAGAGATGAGTACCCAATAAGTACAAGGTACCTTGTCCAGGTTACTTAGTTTCCTTCTTAGTTTCCTTAGTTTACCATTAGAAAAATAGTACCTTGGATTTTCAATTAATTACACTTTTAGTGAGGAAAAGCTATGCAATAAATATTCTCAGGCTGAAAAAAATTATTATTAGCTTTAAGATGCTCAAGTCCAAGTTCCTAAACTATTATTATTCTTAATTAATTAGACTTTCAATTTAATTTCTAGTAAGAAACTGAAAAATCAACTTTAGGAAATGTTATATGAGCCAGTAGAGAACATAGAGCATCAAGTCCCCTCTATTTTGAAACAACCTTTCAAATAGTCCTCCCAGTCTTGAATGGTGAGAAAAGCTAGAACAGTCTAAGGAGCGTTAGCAACCATTAGGCGACCAGCTCTAAACCAATAGTCCTCTTCAAGTGGTTAAAAGTACAAGAAGCCTGTAAAGTAACTCCAGGTCTATATATAAAATTGGTGAGAATGTTTTAAGAAATGTTCTCACCCGCTGATCTATGAATGAATGACGAGAGAGAAAACTGCGTAAATGGAAGTGAGCAAACCAGGAGGCACGCCAAACGCCCTGCAGCCCAAAGTCCTCTGTGAGCCGAAAGCCATAGGGGAAACGGAAACTATTTCCTCGTCAAATACACGAGTCTTGTATTCGATAGCGATGGATTGCTTGAGAGGACAAACCAAGGGCTCACATTTTACCTCTTGCCCATCTCATCTCCACTTCACCGGCCTTCTCATTCTGCGGATTTTGCTTTCCCCCTACCCAGCACAGAGAAGAAGAAATTGGAGGGGGACTAATCTCGGGGGATCAGCTGTTCCAAATGGTCCTACTCATCTTGCTCCTCCGCCCCACCCTTTGGGTAACTTCGAAGGCGGTGAGAGTCGCAGTGCTGGGGCTTCCTGGCCTGTGCGAGGCTCCAGCACCCGCTCACACGCTCCTTTGTCGCTGGCGCGGGCAGAGCATAATCAGACCAGAGGCCTTGCTTTTACGTTTCATTTCCACATTTCCCTCCCTCAACCTAGAAGTCTCATGTTTACCCATCAGACCCGAAAGCAAGCACACAGATCAATATTTTTAGGCTAAGAGGTCGTCTGCCACCATGGGCCGAGGAAAGAATATAAACCAGTCCAAGCTTGTTCTGGTGTAACACACAGCTTTGGGGTAAATAAAGGACTGCCGTCAGGTAAAGTTAATTCAAATACTCAGTTACATTTACGGACTGTTGAAGCCGGTGAGGGAGAGCAGTGCCTCCGGCTTCCGTCCTTCTCTTTGGAAAGAGCTGCGCGTGTGTGGGAAAGGAGAGGACCTGTGCTCTGGAGAGCCGGCGCTAGGAACAAGTTACCGTTACCATGTGGCTCAAAACAACACGACTCCTCTGTTTCAGAGTCTACAGACGAGGGGGGGGCACTTAATTTTAGGACAATTCTAAACAGATTTCTCTCCCCTCATCTTCCTATCTTCTGAGGTTGTCCTCTGGCGCATAGGAAAGTGACGTTCTAGAAGAAAGCATGGTCAGCAAGTTTAGCTCTCCAGCGTGTGTGCTACGAATCACGCGGCAAAGAGGTTTTCTTTCTTTCTTTCTTTTTTCTCACCCTTTCTCTTCTCCTGGAGCATGAACTTGCTAGAGAAGATAGATGACGCTACGAGGAAATGGAAACGCCGCGCTGGTTCCGAGGGGAGGCGGTGCAGCTGGTACGCGGCGGCGCGCGCTGTCCCCGGGCCGGGAGTGCTGGGCTGGCTGGGGGCTGTCTCTCCTCTATCAACCCCGACTGCGCTCCAGGCGAGACCCCGCACTCTATTCTTTCACTTAGGCAGCCTATCTCTTGGTCTTAAAAAGATGAAAGAACGGTTTGTACCCTGAAACGGGGCCCGCATATTTTCCTAAGAGGAAGTTTTAAAACCAGACTACTCTTGAGGGTGGGAGACTAGATTTTAGAGAAGTGTGGAATTAAACACGAAGCATTTTTCTGATTAACTAGAAAAAAAAAATTCACATTCTGCATTTATATGCATGCATACGTTGTTGATTACACGCCCGGTTTACATGGGGGTGGGGGGAATACTTAGAGTATCTTTAGCACACAACCCTTAGTCTTTGTCCTTCGAAAAATTTCAGCTGATAGTGTGGCTGGTTGGGATCAATTAGCATTGGATTTTGCCCCGGGATTGCTCCCCAGGGCAGACAAATGGAGCCAACTCCTCTCTAGCGACTTTCTTCGCCCACGTGTGTGTCTACGCCAGGGCTTTAGAAGCAGTTCAAAATCCCCAGCCTTGGTTTCACTTGATTTTGTTGTTGTTGTTATTGATAAATATTGGGTCATACACAAGCCACTTGTCAGAGCCTTTGGCTCCATCTCGCAGCTGCAGCTCCTAGCGGGGCATTTGAGTCGTGTATCAAGAACTGGAGGGATTTGCTGGGGAAAGCAGTGCACATTCTGTGCTCCTACACTTGCCTAGATGGTAGCTTAAAAACCAGCCTCCTATCTGTCTGCTGTCACTTTTATTTCATGATTTGTTCTGGTATATGAACACTGGTAGGTGTGTGAGTCTTTTCCCCACCTTTATTCCATGAGTATTAAAAAAACGGGTGGGGGAGAAATTATTGATCTCAGATCTCTGCATCTATCTGAATCCCAAAAGGCAGGCAATTGTACCTTCTCCAGAGGGATGGATGGGTGGGTAGGTGGGGCATTTGGAGGCTGTGTAATTGGAGTAACATATACAGTTTATTTTTCAACTGTGCTGTGTATACTCTTTCCCTTGATACATATTGCACATGAATTGAACCCATGCTCTGCTTGTCTTGGCATGTTTGAAGCCCCAGACACCAACAGTATCATTACAGCAAAGAGACAAAGCCCAAAGGACTCCACGCGGGGAGGCGGCTATCTTTGGGAGGTATGAGGAGTTCACCTTGGCACTGGACTTCCACGGAAGGTTGGCCGGTTGGTTTGACTTTGTCGATGAGCAGAGTTCAGGTCTTCACCGCGTGGAAGTGGAAGGGAGGGGTTAGGGATGTGGATGGGGGGTAGGGTGGAACAGACATTTCAAAGGGACTCTTTCTATTTATCAGTGTTACCGAAGTGTACGTTACTGGAGAAACAACAAAACAAGTACAGAGCTGCAATTTTCAAGAAAATAGGATCCCCAAATATAAAAATAAAAAAGTAGCAGATAAATGTATAATTCAATCAAATTACACAAAATTGCTTCAAAATCCAGAACAGTAGCGATCCATTATGCCTCTGTTTTATTAGTGACAAGTACAATTACTCTAAAATAAAGAACACTGGTGAATATATAATTGGCTGTAATCATGTTAGTGTTTGAATAAAAATGACGGGAACATTTAACACTTTGACAACAAAATGTTCAGAAATAACTTATTTATTCAAA